TCAGTCATTTCTAGTAAAGTGCGCTGGTATTGAACCATGCCTTAAAACTTCATAAGAAATTAAATGATGATTTGACTCAATATTTTGAGCGAGTAAAATGTTGACATACATCTACGTTCCCGCTAAATGCAAAACTTATAGCCTTGGGTTAATGTTCTCTATTCTGGGTCGTCATGCCACATTTTTTGGGTTAAAGGCTCCTTGTCTCAGAGAAATACAGCGAAACCTCTATTAAGCGGATCCCCAATTAAGAGGATACCCTCTATTAATCGGACATTAAGCCGTGTCCCGAAATTAACGTCTTATATTTCCCTTTATAACCAACTACAACTCTAAAATAAGGTGTATTTGGCTAATTTCTATTCTAAAAACCCCTATTACAGGGTCGTAACATGGTATATGGGCTCAGGGCTCAAAGCCCAAAATATGACTGGGATCCGGGCTCAGAGGAAAGGGCTCAGGGCTCAGAAGAATGGGATCAGGGATCACAACGCTTTTGTGCCCGAATCAGGGATCAGATTTATTACTTTTCATCTTTATTATTTTAGTTTTTATCTTAAATTTTAGATTAGTTACGAAGTTAGTTTTTCTATACTTCAATGTAAATGTATACCTGAAGGAAATACCGTGTTTAAATAAAGTTACCTTACCTTACCTTACCTTACACGGTCCAAAAATCTCTTATCACAATATTTTAACGCATAATAAGGTTTGTGTCCATAGAATTTCCTGGCCGAGGTACATTCCCTATTCTTGCTTCCGGCTGGCGGCAGTTCCTGTCATATACGAAGTCCTGGTTGTTTGACGAAAACATAGTGTCATATTCTTAATTTATTAATTGTTGAGGGCACCGTAATATGAATCTCAAGTCACTCTTCTCGCTTTGTAACGCAACTCTTCAACGCGCTGTCAACGCCAGAAGGCAGAGAAAGCGATTTATACATATCTTTTTTGGCGAGAAATGGGGAAGAAAAAAAAGGTCAAAAAAAAAAATCCTGTGACAAAGAAAGGTACGTAAGTACTTCCTTGACTGATTTACTCCTAGCAAGGGTCCAAGCATAGAGGTTTTGGGCGATCAAACATAACAATACCGCCAGGACAATAGACAAAGCGGAATTTACTGTATAGGTCCCGGTTGCCTCATGGCCTCAAGAAAGTCACAAGGCGACTATAAATTGAGGTTGGCATTTTTTGACCAGTAACTTAACCCTGAAAAGTACTTAGATAACTAGAATGGACGTCAAAAGTAGAATACAAAAGTGAAATGAATTCGCTCGCTTTGTTGCAAAATGAATGCTTTCTCGCAATTTAATAAATCTGCTCTAATTGCATGGAGTTTTAGGGTTATCTCGAACTCTGATGAGAAACCGTGGTCGGTTCACCTACCAGTACTAGTATTGGGCCTGGAAAGTAAAGGACACTTTCCATTACTGTATAACTGATAAATGCTTGTATGATAAATAGTCTGAAATTACAGTGTAGAATTAGTGAAAATAAGTGGAACACCAAAGACTTACCTCGGTGAAATAAAAGTAACAAAGCCTTTATAGTTTATTTTCTTCAATTTTTTTTTTATAAAAATAAACGGTTGAATTGGTGAAAGGAATGTTGCATACTAGGTACAAGTAGCAGAGTCTGCGGGAATTTATTACATTATAGCACTCAGCATTAATTAAGGGCCACCAGTAAGGGGCCCACTATTTGATTTTTGAGCCGGGGATGGGTTATTTTTTTCATGCAAGATTTTTTCTGACCTCATTCGTGCAGTGGCTATTTTACTTTGCGCAAAATTTACAGACTTTAGTGACAATATTGATCTACAAGAATTTTTTCGGCCCTTTGGGTATTCGGCCTCGGCTTATGTAATGGTTGCCCCGAAAAGGTATCACCACCTTAGATTTGGAGCCTGAATTTTTTAGTGGAGAGAGAACACCCGCTCTGAACGACTACGCATCGCGGCGGCTCAGCTGCCTTTTAGAATCAATAGAGAGGCTTTACCAATCCTCGTTTATCTTTTATACCGGTCCTCAAAGCCATTACACACAGAGAAAGCTGGGTCCAAAGGCACCGGAATGGCTTCGAAAGTCGCACGGCAAGAGTAAACCTTAAGGAGGATATGCACGAGAAAACGAGCGCGGAGGGAAAGGAGCGATAAAGGAAGGCATTGCAGAGCTTTGAGAAAGAATTCGGACGAGGTGTACGACAGCAACGAACGAGAGGGAAGACCAAAGAAAGAGCTGGTACACTTCCACTTGCTCTGAGTATGTTCAGAAGGAATACGTCGGCAAATGGAGAAGTCGATCTGCTGAAAGAGGTTCAAAGGAGTAAAGGACAAACTACAGTTAAAGATGCAGCGGAAGAATATGAGATTACCTATTCAAAAGGCGACGTAGTTGCTCTCAAGCACAATTACAAGAGGTATATCATTCCTTTCTTCCTTGCAGTTCTTTTAAAAGATCGCCACCATAACGGTAACGCATTCCTGGAAGATCACATGGATTTGAGATTTGGACTTGGCTGGAACAGTCAGGAACTGAAGAATCCCCTTGTATACCAGACTGAGCACCGTGACGACTAGTTGCATTGCTCCAGGGGTCAGTTGAATCAGATGATTCACCTGCGTCAGATGGTGACGAAGAGGAAGGAGAGCAAGCTCAGGCGGACAACTTTTGAGAGCCAATTAGATTTGAAGCTGGACGGAGTAGGTCTGGAAGCCCTCCAACCACGTATGTCCTCTGACAATCTACAATGGTTATTAAGCCGGGAAAAGCCATTAATGGGCTTGACATAGAAAAGCTGTTAAACTGTAGAACCTGTGGCTTGCACCATTTAATTTTTCTACTTCATGTAAAGCAGGTATTTTGCTATTGGTAATTGATCGTGCATGGTCCTCACTGTAACACACACAGAGTGAAAGAGGAAATTCACATAAGACTACACTCTAACAATATCAACAGGGATAGTAGAATAGAAATTCCAGAAGCTTGGTTGCCCTTAATCAAGAAACACAGCACTAGGAGATCCGTACGACAGCGAACCAGTGAGGCAAAAGCTCATACAAACAACGGAGTAAGAAATGCACCAATCTCAGTGGCTAATAATCGACGAACCAGAACCAGAGCTTGGTGTTATATAAGTCACCTGTGACCAGTCGACAAAGACTAGCAAGGCAAGGTCTTAAGTGTTGCTTTTTCTAATGAACACTTGAAGTACGCAGTTGAAACGTCGCGATCTACATCAGTAAGTGACTGAATCGTGAGACAAACGATTACACTTTATTAACATCAATATTGTAGACTAGTAACACGGCCTACGTGAAATTTTTGGTTGCAAGAGTCTCTTTGGAAATAAAACATCTGTGACCCACACAGATCGGACGTTGATTACAGTCAACTCTCTCTAAGACGGACACCTTTGGGACCGGCACTAGCTGCCGTCGTAGAGAGATGTCCGTCTTATAGAGAGTCAAATAGAGGGAGCAAAGAAAGGCAGGGACCAACTCTAGGTGTCCGTTTTGCAGAGGTGTCTGTCTTATAGAGGTGTCCGTTAAGAGAGAGTCGACCGTAATTAGACAAGTTATCCGGGCATGCAGATGTTCGTACGGGACAGGAATTTGAAAGCTAGAGGAAGGCCTTAGTTCAGAAGTACCTTACAGTGACGTTAATTCAACCGGGGACCAACCAGCGCTTGCTGTGTTTGCTGTTTGACTAAAAATGTATCTATTCGAATTTTGAATCCAATACTTTCTTGTAATTGGCTTATAAACCTCCGGGTGGCCTTACTTGTATGAGCAATACTGAAAATAAACCTTGTAAATACTCTTGATGAAGATTACATCTGAAAAAATCAAGTTTCAGCCGCAAGAACTTTCAAGACGCACGATACTTAAGGGGAAGTGGACTACTTTCAATGTATAAATTAACAATAACTTACATCCTGTATCTTACTAAAGCTCTCGTTCAAGAAAATCAGATTTTATCATTTGTCTAGTATCGCCAAACATTACGTTTAAAGTGTTTTCAATAAAATAATGCACAAACAGAGGTTGACTCATATTGATCTTTAAATCTCTGATAGAACTTGCAACTTGCACTAAAAATTAAAGTTAGTGTTCTTCTCGTCAGCCCATTTGAGCATGTTCTATATTCTATATTTGGAAATAAACAAAATTGTCTAAGTTAAAATTTTGTGTAAAAACATGGATGGGATCAATTTTTTTATCAGAGCTCAGGGATCAAAATTTTTGGGAAAATGGGGCTCAGGGATCAAAATAACGGCAAGAAAATGGGGATCAGTGGGTCCCGGATATACCATGTTACGACCCTGCCTATTAAGAGGACACCGGACTGAATTGACAATAGTAGTTACTGTAATGGATTACGTACGTCCTTGAAATACGGGCTGAAGTCAGTTAATGTTTTTGCATTTACAAACAAATAAAAGTTGGTAGTGAAAGGTAATGAACTTGAACTCTGGATATCGACTGGATGGCTTAACTTCTTTAATAACATGCAGCTTTCTCACAGTACGGGGTAACCGTTGGATGTTGATCGAGTAACAAACATTGCGCAATTTCTACAACCTCTATTAAGCGGGCACTTGGGAAGGTCCCGAAGGTGTCCGCTTAATAGAGGTTTCACTGTATAACAACTACCTAAAAGCCGCTAGGTGAAAGCTACGTGAAAGCTTGTCAGGAAATCACTTTTAAGATGATAATAATACCCAGACCCTACGAGTTAATCTAATCATCTAAAGGCATCAGAAGATGATTTCTGCAATGATCCTCTTGGCAGTTCAATCACGTTATGTTACTGGTTTTGCTTGCTAGTTCGATTCTTAGCTCTCTCTCACAATGCCTTATTATTTATTCTATTAAAGGCAATTTTTACGGTTTTAATTTACCACCCATGAATAAAGAATGCATTCGCAATAGAGCACCTGTAATTTTCATTCCACTTAAGTTTGGATAAGGAGTTTTGTAATGCAAGACGTTTTAGAAGATGTTTTTCGTTGCATTGCGTTTGGTGATCTGGACATCTGCACTAAACCAAGCCACAGCAAATTTCCAACAGTCGGGGCTTTATCGGGCTCACGAACAGAAACTTTCTTTTGGAAACTTCAAACCAGTTAAGGGACACAAATTGTTCGCAACGAAAATTTCCTCTCCTTTAGTGGCGGACGTATTTGATTGCGTATCAAGCTGTATCAGCGACTCAAGATGTATTTCGATCAATTTTGCGGTAAGTCCAGACTCCAACAAACTTCATGTCTGTGAATTGTTAGACACTGACAAGTACCGGGCCACTGCAGGTGACCTTCAAGTGAATGTTGGTTTTCTTCATTACAGCCCTTCGGTAAGTGATAATTAAAAGAGCCTAATTTCTTAGCTGTTTTTTCTAAGCTGAACGCATATCCTTAAGGCTGAACTAAATAGTTTATCTGTTGCATGTACTTCTAGCCGTTTGGCCGATTCATGGTTACTGGGTGTCATTTACAGTACTGTTAAGTCTAGCTCATCACCTTTTGGAAAATCAAATAATAAAATAAAATAAATTTCTAACCCAGTTTTACTTAAACTTGCTATTGCAGTCTTCATGTCAACGAGATCTCGTTGGAATCCGCTGCGAAAGAAAAGGTGAGACGTGACGTATTTTTGAACGCAATATGTTTATAGCAGTTAGGTTGGACTGTATTAGTACCGTTTTGCGCTGCGCTAATACAGAAGCGGAGTAATTTTTGGAAGGATTGAGCAAACTATTGCCATAAAGTCGTTGCTTTTTTTGCTCCCGAAAAATAGCCTGTGTTGGACTAAAGGTTGTCATGACTACATGTTATGAAAGTTAATAAAGGAGTCAGCGGGCAACCCTTAAATACGCAAGAAAGGTGAGAGACCAAATAACAAACCATGAGAACAACAACTTTTGGAATAGAGTTAATCAGATGCCATAGCTGCGAAAATTAATAATTCGCTCTCAGAGAAGTATGAGTCAGAGCAACAACACCACTACAATATTTCAAGAAACCGTAAAAGAAAATAAAATTTTAGTAAAAGTAGAAATAAAAACCTATTTTTAGAAAAAAAATGCTAATTTTAAAAAAACAAAAGTCGCTTTCAAAAATCGGTTGCCATGGTAACGTCAATGTTGACGTACGTGACACAACGACTTTAAAATGTTCCCTTAATTATAAATTTTAGGAAAAGTCGCCAAGATTGGTGGTCACAGCTTGAAAGGTTTTGAAGTTACGGTATAGCCCCGGTAACTCGAACTCTGCCGGGAAACAAAGAACAGGTCGAGTTAGCCAGAATTCGAGCTATCGGGGTAAATATCTGTGAATGTTGATCAAGGGAAAGGAAATTTAGTTCGAGTTAAAAGTGATCGAGCGAGAAATTCGGGTTATCCGAGTTCGAGTGATCGAGGTTCGACTGTATTTAACATTTTTATCTTCAAAAGTCCTACCGGTCTAGATCTGAATAGGGTTCATTCATTCGATTTAAGAATTTTTCGTCTCCAAAATATTACTTTCAACTGATAATTCGAGTTGAAATAAAGGGAAAGTATGGATGTTATTGTAGTACTACAATAATGTCGTTCCAGACTTGAGAGAGCTCAGAGGTTACAATAGGTAATCTCATGATTTTTCTTGTGCAATTTGGAATAATTAAATAAGTACCACTAAATTTTCCAGACTAGCAAAAGATCTTTAAAAAAAATTGTCCTTACTAAGTCCTTACTTATTCCAAATTGCTCAGGAAAATCATGTGATTACTTATAAAAAATATACACGAAAAAACAACTACAGCAAAAACTTTAGACAGAGTCGAGCGCTAGCAGGCTTTTTTTATCATTCCACTGTTAAAACAAATTCGCACAAAGGTTGACAAATTAAAAATTTTTGATGAACAACACTTTCAAAATCATTGAACTAAATATTTTGAAATTTGCAAGGTTTGATTTTACGTTATTAAAACCTTTTAACAAAAACGTGGCTTACAATAATCAGCAAAAGAAAACTGCGTTGACTCGATTATGAAAGCTCTCTGATAGAACGGAGGAAAAGTATATAGCCATTGCTGTTTAGTGTCTGCTTTTTTCTTGTTGTTTAATTGAAAAAAAAAAACAATTTTGAGTACATTCACCTATAGATCACTCGATTGGATAACAAGTGCAGTGGGTCGCTCCCACGCACCATCAGGTCATGCGGGTATAACCTCAGGTAGTGACAACCAAGGGCAAGTGTGAGTAAAAGATTTGAGTATAAGCAAAGTAAAGCGTAGGCAGAGAGCTGCGACAGATAAGCCAATCAGAGAGCCCGTATAACGCGAGAATTTTTTTCATTGATCGTTATGTTTATGCAACCTTTTTGTGTATTGCTATTCAGGAAAAACCTGTAGTGAAATAAAACTGTACAGTCCACAAGCCACAAGCGGCTCTTATGTTATCGACCCCGATGGAGAAGGAGGTTACGAACCATTCACCGTCTATTGTGACATGACTGACAAGAACGGAGTTGGCGTGACAATTGTCGGTCACGACAGTGAAACCAGGACCCTGGTCAATGGATATGAAGCTGCAGGAAGCTACGTACGTCATGTCCATTACATAGGAGCAGGCCTGACTAATGTTCCACAATTGGTTGGTCTCCTGGACATGTCTGCACATTGCGAGCAATTTATCAAGTATGAATGCTATGATTCTGCGCTCCTGTATATGGGTAACCCAAGTGGCTGGTGGGTATCACGTGACTTAGAAAAAATGACTTACTGGGGTGGAGCCTCCTCGTCTGACTCCTATAAGTGCGCATGCGGGGTGACGAATTCGTGCGCAGACAGCAGCCGTGGTTGCAATTGCGATAAAAATGATGGAACATGGCGTGAAGACAGCGGTCTTCTCACAGAAAAGTCTCACCTTCCGGTCATTCAGTTGAAATTTGGAGATACAAGTGGATCTTATGAATCAGGATACCACACGCTTGGAAAACTAAAGTGTTTCGGAATTGCATAGGATCTGAATTCACAATCTCTGTCATTCAATACACTGTTTACAATGACATTAATGATGCATCGTGCTGATTATTGACATAATTATTATTGCATTCTTAAAGCTAAAGGGTTTGAAGAAAGCACTCTTTTATTACCTCACAATTTCGTACTCTTTATAGATGTTATCAAGATATCGTACTCACCAATCAATCATCCAGCTTTTATATCGTAGCCCAATTTTGGTTTAGTTTTGGAAAAATCATCTGTGATTTATAGTTTTTTTTTTCTATTTTTCACCTAGTCAGTGACATGACGCCAATTGAGTTAATTGCTTCTCCTCTTAAATGCTAAGTACCTTCGTGGTTCTTAATTTCGGGACAATCGACTGAATCCCAGAGTTTAGCACCGCTGAAACGGATACTAAATTTCCATAGTTTGTCCTGCTTTAGGGAAATAAAAGGACTTTCCACACGATGGACCAAGCGACCCTCCAAAAGGGAAATTAAGGCTACATTTACGTATCTTTTACATTTCTCTTCATTTTTGACCAAACTTGCCAGATAGGCTACGATTCTTGCGAACATTGTTGGCTAACAATGTTTGGAGTCGTGCATCCGTTTGCCCTTATCGCTAAAAGTTTGACTGCTTACAAAAATTGCTCAACAACTCCCAACAACACGCAAAAATATGCAGCAGGGTGTGATGACGGACGCAGTGTGGACTTGTTGGCCAACAATGTTGCGTCCGTTTACATCAGGCTTCAGAGTTTAAATCAACGAAACATTCAGGCTCTATGAGTGGCGAAACATCTTCACCGCTTTTGCTGTTGGTTTGAGTGGCTAGAACGAAGCTTAAGTCCAAAAAAACTTAGAAAGTTTTTCATCATTGCTGTCGATTTTTGGGTACTGTCTTAGGAAAAGAGACGAAAAACAGAGCTGAACACGCCATCATGAAAAAATCTTTATTTACGCACGGGCGTGCGTAAATAAAAAATTTGTTCATAGCGGCTCAATAGGACTTATATAGGTAAGCAAAAGCGCTATGTTATAATACTATTTTGCGGGTGTTGTTAACATTTTTAAAGACCCGCACCATCAAGCAACTGATAATATACGAGGCTGCAAACTTCTCCCGGGCCCCAGCAGAGTAACGTTACAATTAACGTAACGTAACTTAATAATTATTTACTCTTCCGTTCCCCTGATATATTTTTAGCTCCCAGATTTAGAACCCACGTGACCAGCTGCAACCTGGGCCGGGTTGTTCGAGGCTGGGTCAAGATAACCCAGGGTTAGTGGGAACTTTGAACTCAGATATCAGAGCTTTAAATTAAAATTCAGTTTAATTCTTTTTGCCTACAATTTGACGACTGAATACTCTAAAAAGAATAGAGAAAATTATCCGAGAGAGTGCTATTGATAACAAGAAAAAGAAAGCCGGGTTAAAATTTAACCCCGGGTCAGTGCTAACCAGCGTTCGAACAACTGAGCCCAGGATTATAGTTCTCAAAGCAAGAGAGAGAATCGGCCTGGGAACGAGGTTGGTTTGAGTGGTCAGTTATTGTTTCTTCTCGTTTCGGATATGGTACTTGCGGAAATGAATATTCACGAGCTAATGATGTTACACAATTGAATACAAGAAAGTGTTTACTTACTTAACAGAAACATAATAGCTGTGGTCACACTACAGACTTTTACCTAGGTAAAACCGATTTACCTAGGGCAAATTCATCAAAAATCTCCCGAGGTAAATTCATCTCGGGTTTTGTTTTACGTAGGTAAAAATTCTGGGAAGGTCACACTACTGATATCGGTTCCCAAAGTTTTCACGCCAGTTGAATTTTTTGGAGCGTAAATTCAAGAAGGCAAAATGCGCAGGGATCTAACTGATCAAAGAGACGTTTTTTTCTTTTGTCTCGCTGTTATTTCTTACACTAATTCAACGTGCAGGGTGAAGAAAGGCGAAGACGTAGACGACTCGTGCCCCCAAAATTTCTTTCGCGTGATCTATGTCCGGTTCTGTCATCAAGACCTTCGCCGATGAGCGTCTATTGGCTAGCAACCTCGGTATTTCATTTTTCCCTAGTTAGTGCTTTGGGGTAGCTGTCAAGGTAAACTCTATGGTTTTCGAGACATATCCGAGACCCAGACGATAAAATTTCCCCGAGGTAAGTTACTTAGGGAAAAATCGGTCGCATTTAAAAAGTCAAGTTTCCCCAGGTAAACTGTCAGCAAGTCGTGTTTACCTAGGTAAAAAGTCTGTAGTGTGACCACAGCTAATAATGATAACGCGGTCGTCCGATTTTATTAGTGAACTTACGCAACAGGACGGAAGAGAAAAGAGGACGGCAACCCTTACGTGACAAGCGTGACGATAATTTTGTTTGAATCAACTTTTCGCCAAACTTCACTTTCCTTTAAACAGATCTTTCTGAAGAGGACCAGAAAACATTGTTTATTTGGTGTGAAGTGAAGATAACGACAAGACAAGCAAGTAATAGCCCTGTCACCCAAGTGTTTTGCCGTCCTCTTCTTCCTCCCGTCCTGTTGCGTAAACTCACTATTCACTCGAATTGGACTCCACTCAGTCCTGTTACCAGTTAATCATAACTTTGACAAAATCTGTGATATAATAGGCTATTTTTTAAATCAAAACACAAGAAATTCGAAATTTTGTTTTGCTAGCAGTGAAAAAAAAGCCATTTAAGCGCGGGCGTGATGGCGCGTACTGTTCAATTACTTAGGCATGACGCGTACTGTCCTATTAAACTGTCAAATTAAGGCTGAAATCAGGGCAGTTGATAGCCAATCGGATTTGACAATTTTGTTATAGTTGTGATTATAACATAACAATAATGATAACAGAGGAAAAAGACACAAAGATTAAAGGTACAGTGACTTCTATCACCGTACCGTTTATTACACTGAAAAAATGCTACTCTGTGTCAAGTACTGAAGAAAAAACTTTCACGAAAACCCCAAAGCAACAGTTACCTTATATCAAACCAAGAAAAGAAACAGCTCAATTGCTGGTTTTCGGTGTCACGCCATTCAAAACAGATCAAAATAAACTCAAAACCATTCGATAGATAAAGTCCAGAATCTAGGAAATGAAAGGAGGAAAATGTACAAAGAACCTCGCCAAGATTTAGGTCGAAGGAATTATTCGTATACGAGATGTCCGAAGAAATTATTTACCCAAATTTATAGAGATTTGTATGGAGACGCCATGTTGGTGCTCATCCGGGATGAGCACCAACATGGCGGACGGAAACCAACAGAAACACCTGTTACCGAGTTTTGCTACAGAAACGCAAATTTACTCCTAGAGGAACTCATTTAAAGTAATACTTTTTTCTAATACATGAACTGTTTAGATATTAGCAAAGTAACTTTTTTAACCTACATGACAGCTCTCTCGGCCGTCATGTAAATGCTGTGTCACGCAAAAGCTTAGAAATTCAAGCGTACTCTATTACAAAACCAAGAGTCCCTCTGAAGCGACAATTTGTTTGAAAGTTAGTTTTCAGCTGCTCTAATACACCATGAAAGTAAAATCTCCGTAGGATGGATAGTTGTGGTTTGAATTTTTTAGTGACGTCATGCGAAAGCCAACAATTGTTTGTTTGTCTGTTTTTTCTTTTTTCTTTTTTCTTTTTATGGCATAGGTCAGGGTTCGACTTTCGCCATCCTCACTTTTTTGTTTGCATTTTGTTTGTTTGTTTGTTTGTTTGTTTGCTTTTGTTTTGTTCAGGTTTTGTTTTCGTAACTGTATAAGATGCGTCTTTAACTGCGCGATAATCCTGGGGAGGGGTTCTAGTGGAAAAGAGAACTTTCCAATTCCCTCAAAAAGGTTGTTTTCTCAGAAAACATCTTGATTCCGTCCTAGGGTTAACAACCTATCCTCTGACCACACGTACTTCTCACACAAACTCTGAGTACTTCTAAAGGAAATATAATTCAAAAGTATAAAGAGAGAACTGTATGTTACAATACAAGCTAGAATTCTCATTTTTGATCATATAATATTCATATCCCTTTTAAATTCGTCTTTACCGTCGATTTTTAGAGGTTTACTTCATTGAGGTAAAACTGAATGATCAAGTGTAGCTTTTGTATGTAAAGCTGCCCCCCTCCCGTATAAAACCAAAAATGAATAATAATATGCCGTAAATAGGTTGTACATGAAAACAATAGAACATGGGAAAGACATATTTTACGGATATAGCGAGCACATTTGACTCTGTGCAATATATTTTTAATCATATACTAGAGACTCTATCTCTTTTAATTATTAAAAGCACAATGCAAGTGCCAGAAATATTGAACAGGTTATCCTTAGAATATGCTTACAGTATCCAATAGAAGTCTACGATTAAATACATCATAAAATATTCTTTCTCCGTAAAATTACCCTGGATAGAGGGTCTCCATGGGGTGGTGGTATTTACGGTTGTCGGATAAAATTTTGGCTCTTTTACGGCTATCGCCGTTACCTTGTCCGTAGGCATCATTATTTCGCGCGGCTAATGCGTTTCGGGTCACCTGGTCTGAGCGAGTTCGCCACCGAAATGCCTTGACCGAGACTGCGTGGGAAGACGCCGTACAAGGACTAGGCATGGTATGGCAATGTCTACTGCAGCGTCAGAGAAAAACAGGGAAATGTTGTTTATCGGCAACGTGTTTTACAAACAGTGAGATCTCTGCGTGTTGTTTCACTAGTGTTTCGAAGGCACGACCTTCTGAAAATCGCAAATATTAATCCCTGGCAAGAAGCCACACTTTCGCTATGGAAAAAAAAATTAGTTCCCCGAAAGAACGGCGGAAATGGAAATGGGTGTTGGTCAACACCTAAAAGGCGCTTTACCTAACTTGCGTACGGAGTCACAATAGCCGGGAAATAAAAAACGTAACCATAAGTGAGTTTAGTACCTTCCCTAAAAGTAGGAAATCTAGGGAACAATTTCTTTTACGGTTAACTCTTTTTTACCCTATTTACGGCTAACGGTTAAAATTTTTCAATTTTTACGGCTATCGACTAAATTTTTGGCCGGTTTACGCCTATCGGTTAACCCCATTGAGACCCTCTGGATAGCCTAAAACGTTTTTTTTAATGAATTTAACGGGAACAGTCGTTGGGTGCCCCTGAATTATATAGAAAATGATCTGAAGGGAAATCAGAAATTGCTTCGAGTTACCGGGAGTCGACTGTATATTAAAAAATAATAATAAAATCAGGAAAAAAAAACAAACAACAAAAAAGAAGAAGAAAGAATAATTAAAGAGTAGTAAGTAGGATTCGATCTCCGCACCTTCGCCTTCATGGGACTTATCCTTTAGTTACCACTTCGATTCACTACTACGGATCAGGTCAACGTACATGAAAATCGGTTGTTTTTACAAATAAAGTCGGAAAGAATTCTCGATATTCTGTGGGCGTTTTCAATAATTAAAAAACAACAACAACAACAATTATTCCACTGGTGCTTGTTGGATATTAGATGATTATAGCCAACTCGTTGCCATCTCATATCATCATCATATCCAACACACACTCGTGGAATAATCTAGTGTTAAATATGCGAGACGACTACGTCAACAAACAACTACGTTTCTGCCAAGTACAAACTGAAAAAATGGCTCTGACTAGTTTCATTTGTCTTGCATTCGGAAATTTCATGTTTAATTTATTGATTCAACGCCGACTTCTTGAGAGCAGGTTGTTACAGAAAAAATAACACCCAAGCGGCCTATCAGCTCGGGTTGAAGTCAAATTTTTCTGAAGCTTGTGCCATCACTTTAAAGTATAAATGATTAACAATAAAAAATATTATAATTACACAGCCCCTACTGTAACCTAAATTAATTACGATTGCAATAATTGAAGCTTCTGGCAATGATCCTGATTCTAATATTTATATAATTTAAACATGTAAC